CAAGCCCGCCCCGTTGACCAAGCACCCGATGTCCCCTTCCAACGCGACGTAGTTCAGCCCGGCCTCGGACGCCTCCCGCTCCTTCTCCTCCGCCTGCGACCAATCCTGCCGCCCGAAGACGCCCGCCTGACGGAATGCCGTGTTGTCATCCAAGTTGATCTTGGCGTCCACACACACCACCCTTCCGGCCGCGTCCTCCGCCAGCGGGTTGACCTCTACCAGCAGCGCGTCGTACCGGAGGAAGAGCCCGTAGAGCTTGAGCATGTTCTCGGCGGCCGCCGATGCCGATTTCTCCGGGAAGCCCATCCGGCGGGCCAGGCGGAGGGCCTGCTCCTCCCAGAGGCCCTCGGCGATGTCGACGGGCTCTTTCAAGATGGCCGACAGCTCCTCGGATGCCACCTCCTCGATGTTGACCCTGCCTCGGGCGCTGCCGATCAGGACGGGGCCCTGGAAGGCCCCCTCTAGAGCGACGGCGAAGTAGTATTCCTTCCGCAAGTTGCGGCGTTCGCAGACGAGGGCGCGCTGGCAGATCCTCCCGGCTTGACCGGTCTGCTTGGTGAGGAGTTTCCGGCTGATCATGCCAGCGGCCACCGCTTGGGCTTCCTCCGGCGAGGAGACCATCTGCACGCCGCCCTTCAGCCCGCCTTCGAAGGTCCCTTGCGCCCGGCCCCCGGGCAAGACCTGGGCCTTCACCACCAGGTCCTCCGTCCCGATCTCCTCGGCGGCCCGGAAGGCCTCAGTGGGGCTGGCCGCCACCACAGCCTTCGGCACCGCGACGCCGGCCTCCTTCAGCAACTCCATGCTGACGTATTCGTGGAGGGAGAGGGATCTTTGTTGCGGAGCCCCAAAGCTACGGCAACCGGACACCACGGCCGTCCCGCTCCGGTGGGCTAGGCGCCGGACGGCGGTCGCCACCCAGGGAGTAAACATGGAGGAAGGAGGCCTGGGGGTTTGGGAGGGTCTCTCCCTCGTGTGCGCTCTCATCCACGGACCGGGAAGTGGAGCCTCACCTTCCCAGCCTTCTCTCTCCAACTGCCGCAGGGTAGCCTTGCGATTGGTCGGGGCCGGGGGGTTCCAAGGGCTTGGATTGGCCCAAGGGGAGCAGGGATTCCAGCTGGGGTGTGGGTGTGGGTGTGAGTGGGGGAGTATTTGTGTGGGTGTGTAAATAAATGTGTGTTTGTTTGTGTGTGTGTGTGTATTTGTATATTTTCCATGTATATATATGTATACATGTATCTGTGGACACCACGAAATGGCCAGGAAATGGAGATCTAGTAAATTAAATTAAATAAAATTTAATTTAATAAATTAAATTCATATTTTATTTATAATATATATGTAATATATGGTATCCTGAAAAACACATAACTTATCTCCTCTTATAGCTATGGAATAGACAGCACAGTACATAGACTATAATTACATAGATTTATTGCTGACTTATGTGTGTGTGATTTCAACTATCGAACGAAAACGAAAATTAAGGCGGAGACAAAACAAGGGTTTACACCTAGGCGGGGAAAACCAAAAGCGACGAGTACCGAAGGGGCAAAAACTTGGCTCGCAAACAATCCCCAAGAGATGGACTTCCGAGTCCTAGCGGGCGATCCCGTCAATCATGAGTTAGTTGTTGGCGCGGCGGCAGCCGCAAAAATACTTAACACTACGCTCGGTTGTCTAGAGGACCTCCGAGGTCCCTTTCCCACGCTTTCGT